CATTTGATGTGAATGGTACGCATGTCCAGCATACTGAGGGATATCCCTTCGAACAGCTGCTGGATTAGGAGGGGGCTCTGGAGCACAGAAGGCGGATGAGGCCTGAACTGACAGACTAGCTTGACACGACGACAGTGCAAACCGGGGGTAACCATGCTCCAGCAATGTCCATTGTAAGCCTGGAGGAGTAGAACAGGTATTAGGGAAAAAAGAGGAATATTGCATTTACATGGCACAGATACACTGTTGTAGTATCAACTTAAATTACGAAAAGTACCCAAAGAAAGCAGAAAAAATTGACTTTAGAATTTAAACCATGCCAATGCAGGTATTAATATATGATGTATCTGTGCGCCATGTAAATGGGTGGGGACTATCTGGATTAAGAAATGCAATTTGAGCAGGTGAAGGGACAGAAATGGACGCACTGCTATGCTACAATGGTTTTGGTATGCTTAGTGTATAAAATGTAACTCACAAACAGAACACGACTGTCAAGAAAACAGTTCTGAAATATAGAACGATTTTAATTTAAAAGGAAAGACAATGACTAACTCTGAAAATATCTTACATAATCATAACAAATCTTATACATAAGAAAAATATTAAACCATAAATATGAAGATACTACGACAAATCTGTGCCAGTAAAACAATTATACTTTTTCTGCAATTTAAATATTATGTATTTCTACCAGGACCATGCAATACAATGATCTACCAACAACCTAATAAAATAATAACTATAGAATTAAAAGCTATGTACTGGAAAGTAATAGCACTATTTTATTCCAGGAAAACAATCCGTGCTTAGGTAAAATTAGTAACTTATGACATAAAAAGAAGCATTTTCACTGAAATTGTATACACCCAGACATAAATGTGTCTGTCTTTCATGAGAAAACACAATTAGAACTGTCAAACTCGACTTCCAAATTAAAAATTATCCTGAAGAAAATTAGATTACCATAACTGTACATAATATCTTGTAACATATCAGCATAAAAATAAGGAATAAACGCAAGACTATCTAGTTTTATGTATTTTGTGGCTATATACCATGCAAACAGAGAGAACAATGTAATGATAACAGCTGAAATGACTGTGGCCAATGTTGGTATATTTCCCGATGTAGCCTTTTTACTAAATTGGAATTCAGCTCCAGCACTAAACCATCAACAGAATTCTATTAAAACATGGCATTCAACTATACCATGGAATTTGATATGCTAACAACATGTCCACCTGAGATCCCAAAGTATGTCTACTTCCTAGACCTTTTTCATGACTCATGGTACGCGGGTTCAAACCCGGCGGAGGTTGTGGAATTTTTAAGGGTGGAAAAATTCAGGGAACAAGTCCTCCGGGAGGGACTTTCAAGCCGTGGGTCCCATGTCGTAGCTTTACGGCACGTAAAAGAACCTCATATCTCCAAAGGAGGTCATTGAGCCAAATTCAAGGACATTTCCCGTCCAACAGTAGTCTCTAACGCCTCTGATAGATGGGGGAAGCATTAGTAGAGCCAGTAGAGGCTGAACTCACTGGCTCGGTCGGGACTGATGGTACGCACCAATATCGGTAGGGTATAGAGACTGGTAGAATATCATAGAGGGAAGCACAATGGACCAATACTGGTCTCAGTTCATGGGGAAACCCACCTTCTCCAATAACTAACTAACTAGACCTTTTTAAGGTTATCTGTTACAGCATAATCTCAACCTAGAAGACCCATACAAACTCTATTAAGCCTTAATTTAGTAACTCTACCCAGCTCACAGGTCATCTCCATTGTTTTCTAAATCTGATCTGAAACAGCGATGGTCTAATGGTGGCTCCCATAGAAAATTAGTCTCTTTTTGTTCAGAGCAAACAGAGGATAATAAGGAAGAAATCCAGAAATTAGTATTGAAAAAACAGCACATAACAAAGTTTTCAAATTAATTTTGATGCAGAAAACATATAACAGGAAGAAATTCAAATATCTGAGAACAGCACTGCTTACAATTATGAACAGAATTAAATATGTAGGATCTGAAGTTCTCATAGCAGTGGTTATGATCAGTTCCATCTTCTGGGATATAAAGTCATGTAGTCTGTTAAACTCTAGTGTTTTGGAAGAACATGTTGTCTCTTCAGGGTTGAAGAATGAGCCAAGCAAGAAACCAGCTTGAAGCATTTTGCTAGCTAGCAGAGCTCCAAAACATTGGTTCACTTTCAATGGACTACACAGCCTTATACCACACAAAAAAGAACTCTTCATATAGCCGTCATGATATTACACATTCCTAAAGCATATAGGACAAGAGATACTGAGACACAGCTTTCAATGCTTGAAAGAACTAAAAAATTTTCATGGAAGTTGATCATATAGCAAATAGTGACACTGCTGAATGAAGAGAGCTGCAGAAAGGAAAATGGTGTCACTCAACAAAAAGTGATGAGTGTGTTGTGGTACTGGGAGAAAAGTCAGTAATTCAAGTGCAAAGGCATTGTTGTATGAAATATGGAAGATAGTCCATCAGACAATGGTTGTACAGTATAAGAGACTTGCACTTTCCCACAGGCAAGCCTTCAGTAGCACTGTCCTACATGAGAGGGTTCATGAGGCTTTTCAGTGCAACTCATTCCATGAGCAGGAAACTGCAAATTCTCCATTAAATTGTGCAAGCACTGCAACTAAACAATGGGCTTGATCAAACGATTTGCTGCACCACGCTGGCAATGACAACAGCTTCTTGGACAGAATTATTTTTAGTGATGAGTCAACCTTTCATGTGTGATGTGGTAAACTGACACAGTTGCAGAATTTGAGGCTCAGAGAACTCAATTACAGATCGCAAGTATGAACAGGTCGCTCAAAACTGAATGGTAGGATGGGTGACTTTTCTCACCAAGAGCAGATAGTAACAAGTACAAATTACAGGGATAACAAGTGGTACACCTTCAATCAAACATTCTCCTCCAAAAACATTGCACTCTGTCACAGTGGAGCCTGACTTTGAGAGAGTTTCTGCATGTAACTTTTCTGAACCAATGGACTGGACAGGATGTATCAATCTCTTGGTCCCTTCAATCTCCCAGAATAATCCTACTGGATTTCTTTGTCTGTGGTTATGGTAAGGGCCAGATATTCAGTAAGAATGCTGGAAGTACAGAGAAACTTTATGCAGCTGCTTCTGTGACACCTCAGATGCTATTAAACATATGGCATGAATCATGTATCGCTGAGATAAATTAAAACTTCCTGAGTTGTTCCTTGAAGAAATACCTATATGATTAGACAGAAATTAAATACTGAAATACAAACAAAATGCTGATTACATGGCTGAAGAGATGGGAAGGAAATATACAAAGAATCTGTGAAAACAGATGGTCAATGTTGGAACAGACTTATAAATGCACTAGCATAAAGCACATTTAAATTTCAATGGCATATAGTTTATGATGAACTTTATCAAAAATACCTAATTGCAACAGCTTGAAAAGTTCTTGAATTACAGCTACATTCATATTAAGATACACATCAGGCAGAATAACAACATGCAATAAATGATATACTATCTAGGACATTTTTTTTTGGCAAAGGCAGACACTTTAATACTGACTCTAGCATACTCGCCACCACAGCCATCTTCTGCCCCTTTTCATTACTACTTGCTAATATACTTCAACACAGAACAATGAGAGAAAAGTAAGCCTTAGCCTTTTACATATAAGGATGTGATGAAAGTGTACAATGAAGTTTAAGGAGAAGGTGGAAAGAATATTTTAAGGCTTGCACAGCTGCCTTATCTGCAAGAGAAGAAAAGGCGGAGAACAGGAACAGGACTAAGATGGAGGGGGAGGAGGAACTGACATTTATATGAGTTACAATAAACCGTCTATTAGGAAATAATGATGCATACTGATTTCCATTATACTGCCTCTGTTAATTAGCAAGAGGAATATAACAACTCTGCTATATTACTGACTGTATAAGAGAACTTCCTTCATAGTACATCTGACTAACTTTCATTTCCACATCTCAGCACACTACATACAGCATTTGTTGCATTTACAATTAACGCATCCATTTTACAGACGTGATGATTTGTTGTGTTACACAGTTTCTGAATCTGGTCTGTTGGATATATCAAGTCCCGGTACAGCATCCATAAAATGATCAGTGTCACTGATGTAGCCACAAGAACTTGTTAATGACTTCAGAACAAAAGGATCATAAATATGAAGACTTCCTGGTCATATGGAATCTCAGTAGGGAGATTTCCTCTATTATACAGAGCTCTGTTGGGTCATGGGAGGACGCTTAAGGGAATGTAAGGTTTCACTCCACTGTGCTTGACATAAGGCTAAGAAAATGTCTAATTGTAGCAGTAACAAATCAGGAGCATACAAAAAAAAAAAAAAAAAGGTAATTTACATCTGAATCAAGTATATCATGTGTAACAAGTACAATTTTGTACAAATACCTTACCAAGTCTCATTCCTTCTCTATTACTTTACAGCCATATAAGAATGTTACAAAATCTGTAATAATTCACAGTGATACTGCATCTACAGAGTCTTTCACATTACAATAGAAACTACTGCTTGGGCAATATCACTACATCGCAATGAATTTCCATTTGACCAAACATCATGGATGAGTGATCAGCACCTCTGCTTGATATTTAATGGTACATGGCAGAATTCATCAGCCCAGAGGCCAACTTTACTGAGACTGTGCTCTTCCTCACTCCCTCCAGGAAAATAATGGGAAAGTATCTTAAACATCTCACCATTTCCTGATACATCCTTCCCAATTCATAATTTACAAATTAACCTAGTATCTGATATCATGCAGTTGAAAAAGCATCATTCTAAACCAAGAATCAATCAATAAATCATAAGAAATAAAACTGAAACTGCATCAATAATTTAATGCATATTATTAACATGCTTTTCCTTTCATACCCAACATTTATAAACATAATCTGTGGAAATGTCGCTGTTTCTACTCACCCTGTGGGGTTGCTGGCTGTTGTGAGGTTGATGGTCCTGTATCTGCAATAGGAGTGTCCACTTCCCCTGTACTACTGTCTTGTGATATTTGCTACAAATCAGCAAAATTATGCTCATATCAGATGTTATGAAGGGTAAACAATACGTGTGAATTATTTACTTGGACCAAAACTATCATGGAATAATTGTTTGTCTTAGAAGTCAGCGCGAGTCTACTCCCTGGCCATAACCTCATACATATTATAGTTCCCCTTGTCTTAGTCTGGTGAACTCAGATAAATTACATGAATAACAGATAAATCTCATATAAACTGCACCAACATGGTTCTATAACACTGTGTGTGATCTGCTTTTGTATGTACTGCACTGGTCATTACAAACTGTATTCATAAATATAATTCGCTTGAATCTTTGGAAAGGGTACATAGGTCTGTGTATGAGAAAGATCTTCCTCCACTTAAACAGCACAGAAAGAGCAAGGCAACCTATGCAATTTATTTTTTTTTTTAGTTTACAATACAATGGTCGACCAGAACTGGGAATTTTATTTCTTATGCTTCATACATCAAAATCTGTCATTGAAAATCATGGCACCCATGGCTCTTTATTAAACAAACGTAGGTTCTTACTAGACAATGATATACAATAAGAGATACAAAGTGTAGAATATACCGTCTACACAACAACATTCAGTATTCAGAACAAAGAAGACACTACTGCATCAACATTTGCTTTTATTGTGTTTATTAGAGATGCAACAATTGAATAAGGATCCTTATTCAATGAATAAAATGACAACTGATTGCAACGCAACAGCTCAGACTGGTGCATTGTATGTCTGATGATGACCCATGAAAAGGCTGAAACATGTTGCATCTCTAATAAACATAATAAAAGCAAATGTTGATGCAGTAGTGTCTTCTTTGTTCTGAATACTAAATGTTGTCGTGTAGACGGTATATTCTATACTTTGTATCTCTTGTTGTATATCATTGTCTAGTAAGAACCTACATTTGTTTGTCTAACCTTTAACGTATGGACTTTTAAATTGCCAGCAGCCCTGTACGGCCAGAATTTAAATCACCCTAATTAATTATCATTGCAAACTTTCAGAAAAAAAAATGCATATTTTCTGTTCTATGCAACATAGAAATATGAACTAAAAAGAACCTGAAAGACAATAAAATTTTCTACATATACGTAAAAGAGCAAGTTTTACAAATTAAAATTAACTGTGAACATTTTGTCATGAAATGCAAAATATAATCTTTATTATATATGTTATGAAATTCCAAAGGACTTACCCATTGATTTTTCTTCAACCTTGAATCATGGTGATATTGTAAATATTGTGACGTGTTTCGTTACTGAAGACGCTGTAGAGATGGTTAATTGGTTTATTTAACAATCTACAGGTAACGGCTACAATTACTTATCACACAGTTGCGGGGTTTCACACTTTATAACCCTATGCGCAAATCAGTTCACTCTGTCTTCAGTAGTCTACACGTTTACAGTAGGGGAGCTATGTATCACTGTATCACACACTCCCAATTACACAATCACACACACGTCCGGTTCTTCTTTCCGCGACGGCTGCTATATTCCAACTTGTAGTCGGCTGATTGGAGAACTGTTGATAACACACTCGCTCGTAGGCTTACTCGGAACTGTCTTCGGCAATGGCCACGTTACAACTCGACTTGGCGACTGTTACGTTACAACTGTTGACTCGCGTTGCCTAGCTACCAGGTTGTGGGGGCTCGGCTAACTTCGGCTCCGCTCATGACGTCACCGCGGCGAGAGTGGCGGGGTGATGACTCGCCTATTACGCGAGCGCTACGTTACCGCCACGTGCCGCTGGGGAGGTAGGGGTCAACATGTCACAATATAATCACACTATATAGAATAATATTTTGTTCAGACTGTATGTGAGTTTGAACTGTGTCACTTCACAGTTTACGATAACTCACACTCTGACGCGGGTGTGCCACTTCTCGAAGCAGTCCACCACACATAGCGCAACGTCACACTTTTTACAGTAGTAGAGCGTGCTTCTACGCTTCTTATTTTGAGAACAAATACAATGTCTTTGTTTTCCTTTGGTTGGCCAGTGTTGTGAATGTTTCACTTCCAGTCGACTCAGTTGGGCCCCAGATGAACTTGGCCTCCCCCAAGTAATGCCACTGACCGTGATATTTGCCTCATGCGACCGAAGAATCAAATTCTGCACCAATATTGTGTGGAACTTTTTGTGTGTCATTTTTCCACCACATGATTTGTGTAATAGATATGCATTTAGAATAGTCATATCTACAAGGTGGAATAACAATTTCTCTGTCCACTTCCTGTCCTCCTAGCAATGCCATAACTGTTTACCATCCTGTCAGATTTATCAACAAAGCCCATGTGTGCACTGTAGTCTTCAGTTACATGGGGTTTGACAGCATGGCCAGATTCATCTCGGAAGTTGCCTTCCAATGGAGGAGGGTGCAAATTCGTCAGAACATACACATCACGCTTGTCTTTCCAACGAACAACACTTAGATGTCCCTTGACTCTTGTAACAATTTCCCCTTTTTTCAATTTCATTGACTTGGGCCGAATTTCTTGTGGCATTCCACACCTATCATTGCGAACAGTGCCACATTAATTTATTTTCCTGTCTAAGAGATCATCAAATAAAGCAGGAGAACTGAAATAACTGTCCCAAGCCTTCTACTCTTCGAATTAGCTGGAGAACAATGCCATGTGTCGATGTAATTTCTTCTGTCGCAAGTTGCCTTTGTTTGGCCAAATAAACTGTCACGTCATAAATATACCCCAAAAAATCGAAAAGCTTGTAAATTTTTATACCAAATCTTTTGCGTTTCTTTGGAATATACAGACGAAAATCACCCTTCCTTTGAAGAGCACTATGACTTCATCAACAGCAAGACGTTCTGAAGGATTGTAAAGTTCACAAAATTTGTTGTTGAGATTGTCAAAAATTTTTCTAATTTTCCAGAGGCTATCATACTCTGGGTCATCTCAATTTGGAGAAGCTTCATTATTTTCAAAATGTAGGAATCTCAAAATATGGAAGAAACGGTCTCGTACCATGGTGTTACAGTAGAATGGAGTGTAGTATTGCTCATCTCTTGACCAATAATCTTTGAGGGTGTCCCGCTGATCGTGGCCCATTTGAATAATTACTGCCAAAAAGTTATATATCTCTTCAATTGTAACGTCAGGCGGTTGAACAGAAGGGCCTGGAGCATCTTGGCATGCCATAAATTGGTGGAAATACCTGTTGGTTTCTTGTAACAAGATTTGGAATATTTGTTGGAAAAACAGAATGAAAATGGAAAAAGGAGAGGACTGTGCATTTATATTGGGAGCAGCTGATCCTGTTGATTCCACTTGGAGGACCACTGAAGTCTAGTACCTTTGGCGAATCCCAGGGTCTTCTATCTCAAAACCTAATTTCCATTTCCTCTGCCTCGTCTGATGATGATGATGATGATGATGATGATGACAACATATTTGCTCGAGGTTCTATGACGTCACTGATATCTTCTAACTCTTCATCAGATTCCTCTTTCATCAATATTTCCTCCAGTTCTTCTGCATCGAGAAGTTTGGAATATCGGGCATGTTTTTGAGGTTCCATTTTGGGGGAGGGGGGGGGGTTTCCAGCAAAATCGAATAAATTATGTTGATTGACAAAGACTCGCAAAATAGTGATGTAAAGTAACTGTAATAGTATGGTAGAAAAGGCCAGAAGTGGCAGCAGCACAAGGGACTTAGTCCCACCCCACTAGCAATAAAAAATAATAACTGTAATAGTAATCTTAATTTCATGCATCCTGCTGTGCTACAATATACAACTCTTTAATGAACCGTCACAACACAGCAAATAGTAAAACATCAAAGTCAGCGTACAGCTGTGGCTTTGCTACATGTTTCGGCCATCATCAGGCAAATACATATCAACAAAAATCTACCATTTAACTGCAATCATAAAATGGATATAACACTATTAGTCGTACAATTTTAAAATTGCTTATGTAAAAAATACAAAAGTTCAGATTATATAAAAATTAAAAATTGGAAGTATTATAACAAGATACAATATTAATGATGTTTTCAAAAACATTGAATCAGTCGTTAGATATACTTTGTGTGCTTTTCCATAGACAATAGGGAAATTCAATATTACTTTATATAGAAGATTTTAAGAGAGGCCCAAGGAACCCTAGGAACAGGAGTTGAAGGGGCCCCAGCGGGCCCTATCTTGAATAACCGGGGGGGGGTTCGAACTTGGGCCAACAAACCGTAAGTAGCGAAATTCGGGCTTACCAAGCTATTTGACCCTACTCAGATTGGGGGGAGGCCCCCCCAAAGGATACAGCGGAAGGAAAGAGTTTGTCCCCACTGGTGTGTACTGATGTAGTGAGGGCCCTCCAATTGGTCCATAGTATTTTCTTTATTGTACACCAGAAATAAATACTACTGTATTATGTGATCACTGAGACGGGCATTAATGACCTACCCGGCCCATTAGGTTCCTACCATAGGACTGCTGACTCCTCCCCCCTGTAGCAAAGCATTTCGTAACAGTGGTGCCCGAACAGGGACTTGATTAGACTAGGTTTGTTTCGATTTGACTAAGTAAGTAATTTTGAGGACAACTGTTTCAGAGCATAACGTGGAGGAGGTTGGTAGAGGCGGATGCCGGGGGCTCCATAGGAGGGGCCAGTTCAAAGGGGAAAGTGTCCGGTGGACGAGGTGTTTTGTTTTGCTCGATAGTAGAATACAGCCAAAGTAAGTAGCTTGTTTATACGATGGCAATGGCTAGTCTGGTGGCGGGGGGCCTTTGGGCTATGACGTCGTATAGTACAGTGTGGATTCATAAGCTACGGAAATCAGATTTGGAATGGGAACTGGCCCATGTGAAACTGTCAATAGAAGGCTCTTGGGATGAATTAAGGAGGAGGCTTACCGAGTATGCTCGGGCCCATCCTGAACAGTATAGTAGGGTAAACTGGATTTTTCAGTTGGACAAAGCTACGTTGAAAGCCGAGCTCGAGGATTGCGGGTTGGATGTAA